GGGCAAAAGGTCAGAAATCGGCGTGTGTGGGGCGACAGTACAGTGACCAAGCGTGAAAGCTTGCGCAAAAATGCCCAGGAGCGTGGTGAGAAGATTCACGTGGCAGCCATGACCATAGCCGTCATCAAGAACCACGAAATGAACCCCCGCCACCACGTGCGCGCAGGGCGGATGGTGTATTGCGGTGACGCAGTTAAAGACGAAGGTGGCTTGCCAGCCCTGTTCAGGGAGCTCCGTAGTTTGCCGACAAACAAGTGTTTAGGCGGTCAACTTGACATTGTTTGTGGGCATGGTTGCGGGGTTTGTCGTTCAAAACGCTGATGCGTGTCAGGCTTTTCTTCAGGCCCTTTTGTCACCCATCATCCTGGCTTGGGTGGTGTTGCCAAGAGAGTTGTGGCTACCGTCCTGGGAAGGCGGCTTTAAAAGGCCTGCAGTCCGCCTCTTGCGGGCATTGTGTGGCCATCCTGAGGCCCCAGCAGAATGGCGCCCTTTCTTCGAGAAGATCATGTTGACATGTCTGGCCGCGCAATTGGTAGACGGTTTCCCGTCTGTGTGCTGGATTGCGTCTCTCGCGGTCTTAGTGACGACGACATTCTAGCTGCAGGCGCGCCGGATAAGTTGGCCATGTTTTGGCGACAGCTGCGTGAGCATGTTGACGTTGAGGATGTGTTGCCAGTTTCCCCCGACTCTGTCGGCCTGACCCCGCATATGCCATTTCCACTTGAGCCGTGCGCGCCACATGTTGGGTTGGTCACGTAACGCGGACAAACAGGTCCATAGGTTAATGTGCCATGTGCAAAGCGCTGCCACCTTTGGACTAAAATGCATAGTCAAGGGCCAGTTGCAAGACTGTTGGTTGGACGTGTTTTGCGATGCCGACTTGGGTGGCTGTGTTCACACGGCAAAGTCGACCAGCGGCTTGTGCTTGCAGGCCCAAACGGAGCCCGGAACCCAGTTTCGGATTGCTTGGTCGTCCCGAAGACAGCAGGCCGATAGCAGATCCATTACGGAGGCAGACCTGGTCTCCTTGGCGGAAGGACTTTTCACAGAGGCACTGCCCGTGCAAGACCTGCACAGCCGCATCTGCGGCCAGTCGATACCGATCCGAGTCCGTGAAGATAATCGGTTATCAAGGTTCTACACGCAGGCTACTCTGTGAAGCTAAGAGGGCTAGTCAGGATGCAGAAGCTTTCCGTCGCATCATCCAGATGAAATCCCTCTGAACTACACCTCTACCAAGGATCAGTTGGCAGACTTGCTGACTAAGGTGACCAAGGTTCTCGGTCGGATGCCCTTTGAAGAGTTGCTCCACAAACTAGGTCTCTGCAAAGTCCCTCACAACTGAGGTCTTGGGCTCAATGGCCTGCCAAATTTTGCTAAGGAAAGTTAGGCGTTAATGCTTCTAAGGTGCGACTGCCGAACCCACGTTAAACAAACACTTACGCCAGCGCGTCGTGCGATTATAAACGCAGGACTTTTTACTTGACCAGCGCGTCGCGCGGTGCGGAAAGAGCAGCTTAGGAAGTGGAACGGCAGAGCTGAGTCTGGCAACAGCTGCTTGCGAAGCAGTGGCGCGGTCAACAGCTACTGCTGGGTGCTGCTGCTGGAGCGTGAGTTCAGTGTCACTGTGAAAGAGTCATTGACGGGCGGGGCTGACGCTATCTTCTAGACTCCCGACCATGGGGACAGCCACACACGTCTGTGTTCACCCAGAGGTAGCACGGGCTGACAACATTACACAGGCGCAAGCTCGTTTCGTTCCCTACCAAGCTTCAAAGAACACTCCGCGATATGCGCCAGGATGCAACCCGACAGAATGGCGGAGCTGAGGATAAAAGAAAGAGCAAGCACAAGAAAGGAACGAGAAAAGGAAAAGAACAAGGAACATGAACGAGAGGGCGTCCAAACCACAACAACAACAACAACAACAACAGCAACAATACAAAATCAACAACAAAGAATTACTTTCCCGATTAATTATACAGTCTTACATATGGTAGTCAAAGGTTGGTGATGGATTTGGCGAGGTATGTATTGTGTGTGTGTGTGCGCGAAAACTGCCGTCCTTTGAGGGTCTTGTGCGTGGCCAGGTATGCATTCTTTGGGTGTGGGCGAAAACTGACGTCCTTTGAGGGTCTTGTAACAAGACCCTCAGTCTTGTATATGGCCAGGTATGCATTCTTTGGGTGAACGTGGAGAGTCAAAGGTCGGTGGATTTTGCGAGGTATGTATTGTGTGGGCGAAAACTGACGTCGTTTGAGGGTCTTGTATATGGTCAGGTATGCAGTCTTTGGGTGAACGTCGAGACTCAAATGTCGGTGGATTTGGCGAGGTATGTATTGTGTGGGCGAAAACTGACGTCCTTTGAGGGTCTTGTACATGGCCAGGTATGCATTCTTTGGGTGAAGGTGGAGAGTCAAAGGTTGGTGGATTTGGCGAGGTATGTATTGTGTGGGCGAAAACCAGGTATGCGTTCTTTGAGTCTTTGAGTGAACGTGGAGAGTCAAAGGTTGGTGGATTTGGCGAAGTATGTATTGTGTGGGCGAGAACTGGCGTCTTTTGGGGGTGCTTGTATGTGGCCAGGTATGCATTCTTGAGTGATCGTGGAGAGTCAGAATTTGAATGTTTGTATGGCCTGCGTCATCCAAAAAGCGGATTCCCGCGGGTCGCTGGTGAGGGCATGCTTGGAAAAGCAGGGGACAAGAAAACAGGCGGGAATCCGGTATGCACCCATTTGAGAAAGCATAAATCGACCCTTGGGAATTGAGCCCAAGACCTCCTCAGACAACCCATGCCCACTACCACTCAGCAATAAGCACCTTGGGAAATCAGCTGGCCCCAAGGGTCCATTGCCCCTTCTGGGGCCTGGGAGCCTGTGAGCCAAAGCATTTCCCAAGTTGAAAACGGCACAGACCGGGAAAACAGGCGAGGAATCCGCTTTTTGAATGCTTATATGGCCTCAGTCATCCAAAAAGCAGATTCTTGGCGGGTTGCTGGTGAGGGCATGCTTGGAAAAGGAGGAGGAGAAGGCAGGGGACAAGAAAACAGGCGGGAGTCCGGTTTCGGAATGCGTTTACTGGCCTCAGTCATCCAAAAAGCGGATTCCCGCCGGTTGCTGGTGAGGAGATGCTTGGAAAAGGAGGAGGAGAAGGTAGGGGACAAGAAAACAGGCGAGAATCCGGTCTGACGTGCTTTGAGGGTCTTGTACATGGCCAGGTATGCATTCTTTGAGTCAAAGTTTGAATGCTTTTATGGCCTGAATCATCCAAAAAGCGGATTCCCGCAGGTTGCTGGTGAGGGCATGCTTGGAGAAAGAGGAGGGGAAGGTAGGGGACTAGCAAACAGGCAGGGGATCCGGTTCTTGAATGCTTTTATGGCTTGAGTCATCCAAAAACCAGATTCCCGCCGGTCGCTGGTGAGGACAAAAAGGAGGAGGGGAAGGTAGGGGACAAGAAAACAGGCGGGAATCCGGTTTTATAGGGGAACCTAGAAAGGCAATGCCCCCCATTTGAAAAAGCATAAAGCCTCCCTGGTGGGAATTGAGCCCGAGGCCTCCTCAGGCAACCCTTGCCCACTACCACTAAGCACCTTGGGAAAACGTTGGGAATGTCTAGGAGGCACAAATCCCAGCCTCCCGCGGTTCCTTCAAAGGACACCTTCCCAGCCTCCCGCCATCCCTTCAAAGGACACCTATTTTGCTTCCTTGTAATCCTTTCAAATGAAATATGACGTCCTTTGCCCTTGTCTATATGTGAGCCACAATACTTATTTTGCTTCCTTTTAATTCCTTCAAGTCAAATCTGACGTCCTTTGTCCTTGTCTAGGAGCCACAATTCCCAGCCTCCCGCCATTCCTTCAAAGGACACCTATTTTGCTTCCTTTTTAACCCGTTCAAGTGAAATCTGACGTCTTTGCCAAGGTCGCCTTTGCCCGTGTCTGGGAGCCACAATTCCCAGCCTCCCGCCATCCCTTCAAAGGACACCTGTTTTGCTTCCTTTTTAACCCGTTCAAGTGAAATCTGACGTCCTTTGCCAAGGTCGCCTTTGCCCTTGTCTAGGAGCCACAATTCCGAGCCTCCCGCGGTCCCTTCAGGGATGAGCTACGGGCATCAATCTTTGTTTCGGATGGCTCTACAAAGCTGGGCAGGGATTGCCCTCAAGATTTTGACTGCGTGCGAGAAAAAGCAGTGCGCGCAAGCTAGCGATGCATGGAAGCACGAAATTCGTCGAGAGGGTTTATCTCTGTCGTAGACTGGCGTATATCAGTCGGCGCTGGTAGTTCTTTTCTCGTTGGCGCTCGCGCGCCCTCTCGCATGAACATGATGCGCTGTGAGTTGGCAGTGGGCGCAAGAAGGTGTGTGATTGCTTTGCCACATGTCCGGCTACCTACAGTACCTTATGCTGCCTCAACAATGTAACAAGAAGGTAAACGTATTGACCCGTGATGAGCCTTTACCTTGTTTTTGTAGGTAAGCTCATGTTTCACCAGCACAACTACAGACGCGCAGCGGGACGATTATGGAACATAGGGTCAATTCGTGCCTGATCGCATAAAGATTTGTCGGGCCTAAGTGCTGTGCTTTTGTGCTTTCGCATGTACAATTCACGTACATACAACCGTCTACAGTCAGAGTTGCGTGGCTTGAGGTTTCTAAGAGATATAGTTTACCGGTGGCATGCGCAGTAGAAGATCTTGGGGGAGCGCGTGAAACTTTTGCTGACCCCCCAAACCTTCAAGCCTCCCTTGCTGAGGACTGCATGGATGAATTATGAACTTGTCATTTTAGTCACGGCAACAGGGCTTGGTGTTTAAGGCTTAATTGTTGTGCCATTGCAGCAGTCAAGAGGCGTAAAAACATTTGGACATACTTTAGAAACGTCGAGATTCTTGATACAAATGCTCGACGAGGAGGATACGAGGCACAAATTAGGGCTTATGTAGAAACAGCGGTGAGTCATAATTGGGTAGGGTATCAAATTCCGCACCCTTTTTTCCTCCAGTCGGCAACCTCCTCTGGCAAGCCAGCTGAGCCCGGATCTCAAGTTGCTTGCGGCGATTGCAGAATGTAGTGTCCTTCGAATACAGTCACGTGATCCACTGCACGCGTTGCCTCGTCTGCTAATGGATACACATGGCTATCTGCAAAAAAACACCAGGTCAGGAGAATGCATGCAGGTAGATGCCAGAAGTGAACAAGAATTCCACTAGTGCTCGGGCAATCTGAGCAGTTGATGTTTTGAGTTGTGTATGGCCGCAGAGCTTCTTGAATTCCAGGCCAAACCGGACGTTGTTCGTGGAGAACCTACCGGCTGAGGCAGGGCAATCTAAATCATGCAAACTTCGCACTTGACATGTTATCCTTCCCTCTTCCATTGCGCTGCCATCAATCCATGGCAGGTGGGTCGAAACGCGCGCAGGGCAAATCTGCATATTGAAGACACGATTGAATCACCATGTGTTCTACGTTGTTACACTTGAAATTTGAAAGAAGTTTCCGCTGCGGCAGTGCCAAGCATGTCAGCAGCAGCGGCGGCGCCAACGACAGTGGTACTACTGAGCACGAACGTTAAAGAAATTATCTGCAAAGCTTGTGGCGAATGGGTTTTGGATCTTAGCACATTTTAGATTTAATGCACGCAAGACCATAGATGTCAAACCTACTAACATGATGCATGGTGCAATGGGTCCGTCAGGCCACGGACACCATGCTTTCCATGCTCTTCCGGCAGTATCCAGGCTTCCAGGAGGCCACTTGAAGATTCTGCTGATTGGAGGTCCCCACTGTGCTCTGTGCTCGGGAGGTCCGACTCATTCCAGGACGCAATGTGGCATTTGCGGACTATCAGAACGAGTGCTCCCGCACAAGTACCGATTCACGCAGCATGTTTTCTGAGTCTGGACAGAATGCTCCCGAGTATCCTCGAAGTGGTAATCATGACAGGAACCCATCTGAAGGGTTGATTGCTGGGCTGCTCCAGTCCCCTTTGCCTGGAAAAATCCTTTGAGGTATCAAGCCGGCATGGCTATGCAAGGGCTCCAAGGCTTCGAGATGACACCAGAAGTGAGGCCAGGTGTAAGGTATTCAACGATACCGAAGGGGCCAAGTCAAGCTGTTCATGAAGTCTCGCAGATCGGGTATGCGATATGATGTGACATTGCTACTCGGCGCTGAATGTGTTTCTCTTGGAGTAATTAGGCAGCATAACCGAGTGGATCATACTATTGTACAAAGAGTAATAGCGCTGTCACAGAGTCTATGCCGTGGTTCAACAGAAGCTGGCCCGTTGCCAACAGAACGCATGCACTTTTTAAACCTTTACGCTGTAAACGAGAAGAAGCTGCTTCCTTTGAATGCCCTGGCTGCTTGTCCAACCTAGAGAGATACCCAAACTCTAGCGTTATTGCAAAAACGTGCAGGTTTGAAAGTGCAACAAAGCAAGGAGAGCTTCAAGCATTTGAAATCGTGTGAATGCGGATTTGCAGGCTCTCGCTCACTTACGCGCGGAAGTAGGGCAAGGCAGGAGCAGGGATGCAGGGTCTATCAACCGTAGTGACTGCTGCAACGCAGGCGAGCACGCTGCAAAAGCGCGCGTACTCTAGAGTTGCCCCAGAGCTTTTTTGGGGTGCGACATGCAAGAAAGACTCTGTGGGAAGGATGTGCGACTGCCTCGCGTGAGCCACGTCGACAAACCCGGCCCTGCAAGTAGAAAAAGCCATCGCACACTTGAATATCAGATGCCAGGTATTCCACAGATCAGAACGAATCTCAGAGAGCTATGCATCAGAGACCCACATTGACTGCTCCAAGCCTAGATAAAACTCACATTCAGCTTGAGGACCTGCCGGTTTGGAGAGAAAAGAAGCGTGAGGCTGTGTAAGCACAGCATGTCGCCACCTGGCTTCCCAGCGTAAGCCGTACGCTAAGAGCAGTTCCGAGCTCCCCATTGAGGGTTCGGAAGATCAAGTCAGGAGCGCAGAGTCCAACATCCAGAAACACTGGACACTATCCGCCTGTAGATCTGCATTTGATGGCAAACGGTATTTGCATTCTCTGCATTGGCCGGACATGTTGAGGATGCCGGCCTTGGCACAATTGAATTGATGGCTTGAATGATCTTGGATGCTTTGAATGGGCGCAGAGAAATCTGAAGGTCCTGCTGTCGGTCACAACGGCTCTCAGCCAGCTCAGGGTCGTGTAATCCTTAGATTGCTGGGCTCCTCCGCCAACTTGCCGCAGAGGCTTTGGAGCTTGCTGGGTCCCTGTGTTACACATACTCTTATGTGTTGCGACGCTGAAATAAAGAGGTTTTGACTGGAAACAGGTCTGAAGCATTCCAAAGGTTCGGATTGTTGAAGTGCGCCTTCAGGATACACGGATTCCCAGTCAAGGGCATCTGCCACTGCTGTGAGTTGAGGAGTCGGACCAGTGCCTGCGGTTTTTGATGCTCTGGGTGCCAGGCGCATGAGGAATGTCCTCGTTTGATGGCTTATCGCGAGAAGAGTTGATGCAAAAGGTCGGATGGCTGTTTTATGACCCTTGATGCTCCGCAAACAGCCCCGCGCGCACCAGGTCGTGGAGCTCCAGCAGTGCTTGGCCGAACTCTCAGAGAAGGCTGGCGCTGCTGACATGGCCGGCATCCAAGCTGCGAGCAACAGATCCGACCATGTGGCCAGGTGGACACCGTGAAGGGTGAGAACACCCAGCTGAGAGATGAAAATAATGTTCTCAAGGACTACCTGAACAACTTGATGGCTAAGGCCCTGCCAAGCCCTGCCAAGACTTGTCTGACATGCCTCTACTCTGAGCGGGTCTTGGATCACCACGCGCTGCCCTAGAACACGAGGTGTACACGGACGGGAAAAGACATTGCAGGATATAAGGACGGCGAGTACCTTGAAGGACAGAGCTGAGGTAACGGTACCGTATGTCTTAATTAATTGCAGCTCCGGCGCCTGGAGAGAAGCCATGAGAAACTCGCAACTTGCCAACTCGTACAGTACAGCATGCTTGGCACCACGGTGAATGCTGGACTTGTGCTGTTATGCTTTTGCTGAATAAGTTTCTCGTTCTCAGACGCCTCTAGCGTTGGCTTTTGCAGTAAACCGAAGTTCTTCTACCAATAAAGTTTGGCAGACTTTGGCAGGTTGGGAAGATGCCAAATTTGGGAACCACCGCTCCCAGCCGTGTGATGATCCAGCAGAATCCTGATGGAGCTCAGCCCGCCACTTGCCGAGCTGACTCTGGCGTTTGCTGTAAGAAGCTGCTTTAGCAAGAGTTAGAGAGCTTTCCAGAACTAAAGGAAGTGATGGCACCGATCATCAAGTGTAGGATGGTCCCGAGTGCAACATCCACCTTGGTAAGGCGTAAGCAACACAAATGCTTCACCGCGACTCGACCTCCCAGAAAAGAGCAGTCTGGAATAGCTCGGACATGCCAAGGTCAAAGTGAATGACCATATCGGCGAGCTGACTGCGCCCGCCATGGACGACTGAGTTTCGCTTCCTTCTGGATCAAGAAGATTTCAGATTTCAGCTCTTGGGGCAAGCATCCTCGATGCCACTTCCCGTATGTTCCATTGCCGTCTCAGGGCCAAGTGGTACAACGGAGCTCTAGTTCCAACAGTGGTTGCGGGGGATCCTGGGTTCCAGATGAATGTGGTGTATACCGTCGTGCACAAGGCACGCTGACGCGTCGCGCCTCTCTATCTTTTCGGTGGGCCAATGGGGTTGTCTGGCATCCATATTCCAAGCACTACATATTTCAAGCTGTGCCACGCCATGTTGCACAAGTTTTCCCAGAAGCAGTGGGATGTCGAATCCCCATGGCACCTCGAAAAGTCAGCCAAAATAGGCAGTCCTGTTGTTCAACTCAGAATATTGCTGGCTCAATCAGAAGCGCACTAAGAAGCTGAAAAGGGAATAGAAAGCAAAAGCAATCATGGTGTTCCAGGCCGGCAAGATCGTAGGACTTGACATCTACAGGCAAATTCTAAGCACCGCCAATAACAGGGCAAAACATATGTGTACACATCATTGGGGGTTCACCTCAGTGCCCTACCAGCAGCGTTCGCAGAACGTATCCGGCGGGTTCGTGTGGTTCATACACATACAAGTCTCCTCGGACGAATGTCCTTCTGCAGTAAGGAGGACGCAGATAGCAGAATGTTACGGACATGCTGAATCGGGCAAGCTCTGGCTCAAGCCGTTTCGATAACGAACCCCAGACTCTTCGTGGTCGTTCATGACCGTTGCCGGTTGGCGAACCGCCCCTTGAAGGCCCTCGGATTGCAAGCGCAAGCAGCACCTATAGTCGCCATTCACATCTGCACTCGTAACTCCTCACGCCCATTATCGTTTGTGGGCACCTGCCTGCAGCATGCTGCAGCCACAGTTTGAATTTTGAGGGTACGTGATTCATCCTTGTGTTCGCAAGGATGGGCTTCCGACCTCCGCAACTTCTCCAGGCAAGTGCAATAGAAGAGGCTGTTTGCGGTGCCCTCCAGGAATAGTCACAAAGGTATAGGAATCACAGGCCTGTGTGCAGTAGTAGGAGAAGAGGCTTTTGCACTGCTGACGACTTGTTTTAGGTCCTGATACCAAAAACAACTCTAGCCAGTACCTTGCATCAGGATTTTTTGAGAAGAAACTAAAGCGAGACATTTGAGGTCCCCAGTTGAAGGCTAGTCTTTCAAGCTTTGCAGCTGTCACGTTCTTTCAGGTTGGGATTGAGGAAATGCAGTCTTAACGTTGCAGGCAGACATTCCTGCCCAGGTACGCAGCCAAATATAAGGAGGTCAGCAAGAGTGGGTCTGAGCTTCTGAGCTTGTCGCACTGGTCGCAGGCTGCGTTGATGTTTCTCATTCTCAGCTTGGACTTGCTCTTGGACGCAACGAAGCCAGCCGAGGCCTGGAGCAGTTGTCCAAACCCACTCTATGAAGCGTTTGGAACAGAACTTGTCAACGTTCGGCTGTAAGCAAACCTTTTAGATTCACCAAAAGTCGACAGCTAGGGCATGATGTCACTGTGAAGCACGCCCATTTCACAGAACTGTAGATTGACAGACTTGTCTGCACCTTCCTTTGGCTGCCATTCATCAACGAGGCATTCCTGCTTAATGTGAACATCAAGCGCATATGCGTTATCTTCTGATTGCTAGCATAGCATTTTGCCATCTCAAGATCAAAGTTTTCCTTATGCGATTATTGAGCTCTACACGCCTTTGCACCAACTACAGATCCCCTGCTTGGCGGGTTCTCAGATGAAACGAATAATACATGTTTTCCTTTCAGCAGCAAGCTAGGGTCCTGGCGGCTCAAGCACAAGACGTTGCCTTCAGAGGGTCTTAAGATGTAAGCAAATGCAATTTCTAGGGATAGTTACCTGAGCAATGAAATTCTGCCAGGGACTTGAAGTCTCTCTCCTTCCACAAGAAATCGACATCGAGGCGCCAGCCCAGATTCCAGATTCCCGTTGCTATGCTAGACTACTTTGAGAGCCCTCATGCAAATCAAGTAGACACCTTCAAGAGTAGAACAGGCTAGACTGCTGTACTGCATCAGCCACATTTAGGTCCTGCCGTGATTGTGTGATGTTTTCACGCAGGCCACTTTTCAAAGTTCAAGCTCAAGCCAAACATGACACTTCAACATGCTGTTCGACGTAGTTGAGTTGTCTGAAGCCAGGCAACCAGCTTCCTGCAGATCACAGCAGAGTCTTCGGTGGACGGCAGAGGGGCTTACCCGTGTTATTCATCAGATTCTGATTTCAGGGGCACAGGAGTGACTAGTTGCGCACCCTCCATTGTCAGCCACATGTTCGACCAAGCCCAACTTGGTCTGCGAGCGGCATGTTGGACAGTCAGAATGAATGGGCGAGTTGGTGCCGATTTGATCCTAAGCGAGTATGGCATTCGGCATGCCGCTTGCTAGAACATCTAGTTTCTGATTCCGATCTGCCAAGCTCGAGTCTATCCGCCTTCACCAGCCAGGTTTTATGTTAAAGCTGTCCGCGCCCCTGAACCCTAAAGGAAAACGCCGCGTCCTACTGGAAGAGTTTGTGCTTAAGTTGCCTGGCCATCTGCAGGATTATGTACAGCAACCGTGGCCACGAAACTCCTTCAAGCAGGAACCATGTGACGAACGCCCGTTTTAATTCTTCATCTGCGCGATGCAGCTTGGATTTTCATACTTAATCTTGCATGGACTCACATGCGCCAGAACCCGCCGCAGTATGACCATCTTCCTGATGCCTACGACGTTCCTTCGTTGCATCTTTTGTGCAGTTTTGCCGCAAGGACAGCATTGATTCGCACTGCTCTTCAGACCTCTTGACGACAACGCTTCGCAGGCAGGACTGCGCCGAGTGTGTGGACATGTGGGGACTTGCGATGCAGGACAGCAGCACCAAAGAACTGCGTGTGTGCTTTGCGATGGCTTTCACTTCAATGGAAGATCAGGTACTGAGTGAGCCACTGCTTGGATGTTTATCTCCTCTTGTTTCAGTAGCTAGAAGCCGTGGATAAGCACCGCACATGCCTGCTGCAGCAGCAGGAGCAACACATGTCGTGGCTTTGGAAACGCTTCTGCACGTTCATTCATCCCTGGACTCCCTGAGCACGCATCTGTCATCCAGGCTTTTGCGATGTCCATGTCCAAGTTCAGATGCTGCTGGGAGCGAGGCCAGAGTCCCTGAATTTGTGACATAAATCGTGACATGTGATGTCCTTGTGGGCTTGATGTGCGAGGCTCTCTTCAATCCTGACCGCTGCGCGAAATTCTTCTGTCTCATCATCTGCTCCCCCTAACTCAAACCAACCTCAGCTAGGAGGACAACAAGTGCGCGCTGGCTTTCTTGAACCTCCCAATGTTGTCCCGGCGTACAGTGTCATCACGTCAAATGCTTCAGTTGCAAGTTGCATGAAGCTAGTTTTGGTGAGACAATCTGATCTTTGCCAAGCATGACTCTCACCCTCCTGCTGCTAGATTCCCTGAGACTTGACACGAGTTATACCGTACACCTGGACCCTTGGAGCCAAGCCAACTCCTTTTTGCTGACTATCTAGATGTTGGAAAAAGTTTCGGTGCCGACATCCAACACTTCGCATTTTGTGCAGATTCAGATAAATGGTAAGATGAAGTTAACCTACTTCAGTTTAGCAGTCGGGTTTTGGAAGATGCCCCACTTGTCATGACTCGCGCTGGCCTTGACGGTACTACTCTTGTGGCGTCGGAGACGTTATCCGTGCGATAGCAAATACTGGGCTTCAGAACCAGAAGTGTGCATGGTCCAGGAAGTTGAGAAACCCGATTCTTCTAGGCTGTATGATGACATGGCAACTAAGGTCTGTTCGCGGCGTGCTGGACTTAAGCTCGGGCATCTGCTACCAATTTGTTTTAAGCATGAAGTCTAATTTTTGTGCTATTCTTAGCCTCTTGGCCCGGTAGAAGGACTGCAACAAACTACTGGGATGCAAAATGCACTGAACAAACTTGCAGATCTAGAGTGGGCATGTGAAGGCCAGGCCTTTCAACAATTTGACTAGAGATCAGCAAGCTCCGTTGCACGAGCTTGTGAGCCAACAGCACGCATTCGATTGCAGTTCTCCAGACTTGAGTCAGATCAATTTTCGGTAAACGCGGCTTTGCACTAGGTTCACAACTAGATGGCACCTCTAGTTGAATATGGTGTTCAGATGTCAGCAGGTACTGGGTCGCAGGCTTGATCCTTTCAAACGTCGTGCAGCTTCCAACAAGCCAGAGTGTAACTGGATTTGTGTCTGGTAGACGCTTGGTTGAGTCTTGGCGCAGGGCCATGTGCGTTGCCCCATCGTTCGACACTCGAGGCACCACACTGTGGACAGTGGCTGCACTAGGCATCGCTTTCCTGCAGTCCAGCCAGCGCCCTTAGTGCTTTTTTTGACGGTAGCATTCCTCTAACATGTGTTTGCCTCCACATCATGTCAAGACTGTGAGGCCCAGATTGTATATCGGTGCGGGGGTGCAGATAGCGCCAGCATCAGTTGCTACTTGATTTCGCCTCCAACCAGTCTAATAAGCCTGATTATTCCCTACTAAGTATCTAGGAGCTGAATAGTGTCCCTGCCAAGAGCCTTGACGTCTGAGCTTCAGCTTGGATGTGCACAGATGTAGACTCATTAGACCTTGCCAACACCATCCTGTCATTGGCAACCGACACTGGCATTTTGCTTACGGACGATGACAATTCTATTCATCGAGTTAAGTCAGCTGGGTGCGTTGCCAAGGTGTAAAGGATGTGGTTTTGTTGAGCCTGTGACAGCTTGTGATAGTGAAGCTTGTAGTGTCTGTAGAGTCTTCGTAGAGGTGTTCAGAGCTCGGGGCGCTCCTTGGCTCCATGGGCTAAAAATGAAGCGGATTACAAATTCTGTGATGCCGCATACTGGTTTCACCAAATGTACGTCGCGCCGGAATGAAAACATGTGGGTCATGGCAGGATTTATACAAGTGTTGAGCCCCATGAGTTCGAAGCTATGCTTCTGCGCGTCTCAGACCATGTTTGTCAGTGTAATTAATATGCAGGCGGCACGCAATCATCATGCATATCTTGCTTTCCCGGTCTTCCGAGCCCTCATGCTTTGGGGTTTTCCAAGTGCTGGCTGACCTTGCAATAACGGTCCGCGATGGCTGCTGCAGTTGAACTGGCATACGCTGGCCTGAAGCATGACTAGCATGTGCGCAGCGTCGCCTGAATGATGCGACAGACGTTATTCCTCAGCTATCATTCAGCAGCACGTAGTTGGGTCCTGGCGGCATTCACGCTTGCATCGCTGGTGCTTTCAAGGGCCAAATGGCTGCCACAAATTCTCAACAACAATGACACAACCAGTTCAACAGCTAATTACACGATATGTGAGATCAGAAATCATATGATAACACCATCAGGTGCGCCACTGCCCTTCCACCTCCATGCAGGCAGCGCATCGAGAGCACTCGACTGAAAGTAAAGCAAAGGCAGCCCGTTGAGACTGCAGGAGTGGGGCTTGTGCCCCAGAACTGCAAGTTGCTGACCATGTGAGCAACCGTCAGTATTCAAGGAATGACACAAAAACCAAAAGTAATGGGATGCCCAAAACGCGATGCCTCTCCATCTCAGACTTCAACAAGATAGTGTTCTGGCATGTTCGAGCTGAACACCTCAAGAGCGATGCCTTTCTTTTATCCCGCGCCCAAACCCCCAAAAGGAATGGGACCCCCCAAGTATCTATGGCATAGCATCAGATAAGGAGTTTCGATCAATATGCGGTCATGGAAGACATGTCCCAATTCGTTACAACAAAGGCGGTTCTCGTGGGCCCGATAACTTTGATGATTTGCTGGCACCTGGTTGGATCCTCCTGCATCATGTTGAGGACTCAGGTCCTTTTATGGCCTGAGTGATTTGTCATGCCCTTAATTAACACCGCTTGATCGTGCAGCCCTGCAGCCTCATTGTTTGGGCGCTGCCAGGTCTGTTCTGTGGAGAACCAAGCTATTTCGGAAAAGCTACCACCAGGTGCTTCTTGCTGCCTGGCTTTGCCTCTCATGACCTGTGGATCAGACTGACACCTGAACACCCAAACTGATAAGTTTGGTCTTGCAGCATGTTGATTGTGTCGCTTGTCCTCGTGCCGTTGTTGTTCTTCTGCCTTGTGACCTTATTGCTACTTGCAATGCGCCGCTGAAGCCGTATTGGATCCAGTGTGTATCCCGCGATGACGCAGCAAGGCCAGGTCTTTGTCCCAGCGGTGCCCCGCAGGATCGTGGAGGGAGTCCTTGTGCAGCGCCGCGCAGACGTACAAGTCCCGCCGCTTAGTGCGCTGTGTGAACGTCCTCTACCGTATCCCAAGCAGAAACTGATTGTGCCAGCCAAAGACGGCAAACATACAGCTAGCCCTAGCAAATCTTCCGATGCATCTCGGTCAAACAGCCCGGCTGATCGCGACATCATGGACGCTTTCATGGACGAGATGAACTTTCCGCCGAAGCAGAAGTTGCTCGAGGTACCGAACCGAAGTGCGAAGGATGCTCGCTCAGCTAGCCCTGCTGACCGAGGCGTGGACAGTGAAGATGTGGATGACTTGCCTGAGAGCCTCAGTAGTCGAGCATCCTCTGCAGAGCCCAGCAAGCAAGGAGCTAAGCAACAGCTTGCTGAGCTTCTTGACATTTGGCGCAGCAAGCGCCACTCCACGGAGCCTTTGCATGAGGAGGAGCGGCAACGCATCGAAAGGGTCCTGTTTGAGACCATGCCAGCGGACCGTGTGAGCATTGTGGAGATTCGTCGCGTTGTCAAGCCTTCACTCTTGCGAAGGTTCTGTGAGGAGGAGAGAGATTCTCTCCTGAAGCAGGCCAACCAGCAGAAGACGCACAAGCAGTTCATGCTCTTGCATGGCACTCGCTGGGACTATGCTCCTTTGATTCTGGAAAATGGCCTAGACCCTTCTTGCGGACATCTCACCAAGGGAACCTGGTTAGGAGGAATAGCAGAAAAGGCACATTCCTATGCAGCGAAAGGGCCAGGTCCAGAGGTTGAGAGTGAGGGCCCAGGTAGCAATTCCGGGAACCGCCTCTTCACTTTGTTTGTGGTAGCTGCCGTGCCAGATATCAGCGATGGCGATGACGAGAGATCATTCGGCGTGTGGCGGGTACAGTCGGGGCGCCGCTTGTATACTGCCTACCAAGTGATCTATTCCGCTCCAATGGACTTGCGCCGGAAAGCTCCTCTGATCGTTCCGCGCTCCAACAAGGCAGTGCTCCTTCGCAAGCAGAGCTATGACAAGATTGAGACAGCTCCCATGCTCTCCAGCCGGACGGGTCGATGCCGGAGTGCCAGCCCCCCAAGGCGAACGACATCGCCCGAGCTGCCCGTCGCACTTCCTTTGGATCTGCCTGCGAAGCCTGTGCCCGCTCCCATCAAGGAGCCTGACGCTGCTAGCAGTTGGCCTCTCGACGGCATGCGCTTGGGCGGCTTCCGCGGTGCCTGCACTTCCCCGGCTCTCAAGGACCAGCCAAAGATTTGTATAAAGTGGTGTAGATTGATGTAGACAGAGCTCAGCTTAGCAGCTTGCAAGCTTGCACAGGTACATCAGCCCGGTGCGGAAGCCCCTGGTCGGTCCGTGTTCCGGCGGACTTCAGCTCCGAAGCTGCTTGAGGCGACTGGTCCAAACGTGAAGGGTGTCACGGAACATCGGTCCACACCAAGCCCAGCTCCTCGAAGCCCAAGCGCCCAGTCTCCCAGTCCTAGGCCTTCTCGCACTTCTCCAGCCATGAAAGTACGGCAGCCTGAGGAAAAGCCACCTCCAAGCCCACGCACCCTTAACCGACCAGTGGATCTCGGCAGTCAGCCCGCGGCTAAATGGGAGGTTCTCCTGGATGAGGGCTGGGTCCCTTTCCGTCCAGGAAGTAAGTTCAAGGATGATGCGGGCACCAAGGTGAGTATTTGCCACGGCCAATTTTGGTACACACTAACTTTCGATGCTAACGGCACCACTGGCAAGCAGGCAAACCAGCGTACCGGTAAAGTTCGTCAGCTTCGAAGGGTGGTGCAGCTCGAGACTGGAGATGCTTGGAAGCAACAGATGCTGTTGTGTTCTGTAACATGCCCTGCATAGCCTGTGAGTGGTAAACTGCTTCATGTGGTCCGCTCTGGCCCACCTGTCAAGCCATCACAACCTCTAAGTGAAGTCCCAATTGCAGAGGGGCTGACAAATATGGTGATCTTCCCAAAGCTCTCACGCATACAGATGCGGGAGCAGAGGGCATTTGGTGAGGCCAGGGACCTTCAGAGGCCTGGGGGCTCTGAAGGGGACGGGAGGCTCTGCTGAAGAGTGGGTAGTTGTGGGTGGGATTGATGTCGCGCCGAGGGCCTTTGGCCAGGGGCCCAGTTGAAGCACTTGGGCATGTTGGCAAATGCAAGGCCAGCATATCAAATGAACAGACTGCAATCACCACTGAGCAGAATGCCCCGGAGTCTGAGCAGAAGCCAGAGGTGGAAGCTCGGCTGACTTAGCGCACTGCTTGTGCACCCATAGCCACAAGTTGCAGTTGCATGCAGTTGCGTTAGTTGTCAAACTATTCTCAGCTATCCTCAACGTCAAGGTCCGCACGCGTGGGTATGTGAAGCATAATTGACAAGCAAACATGGTATACGTTGAGAGTCAAGCAAAGGCTGGTGGCTGGTTTCCAAGCTTGCTGAACTCGCCCTCTCCCGGCTCTCCTGTTAAACAGGCGGTTTAGGTGTACGTTTCCCAGCGGCCAACTTGCGAGATGTACTCTGAATCAATCTTACTGGTGACCGAGTATGTGGAATTGGCCGCTGCAGAAATCCCTTGATACTACAGCTTCGTTAAGGCGGACACAGCCCTTAACAGCTGTTTCTCACAAAGGCATTATTCCTGGAATGTCTTTGAATGGTGGCTGTCCACACAAGCTTGGACATTCTGCTACTTATTCTAGCTACCGTTGAGCATCGAGGTCAGCTTTTATGTTATACATTGCCAGTGCCCGAATACGTCATGGAATGCGCACGCAATGTGCATGCCACGGCAAGTTGTCATCTCCAACCTCAGACGATCTCAGACGTTCAATCTCTGATCTGTTGGCAAGTCGTCTGGTTGCGGGCAAGTTAAGCTTGCGCACGGGCTTGCCAACTTTTTTGGATCATTCTTAGGACCGAGAGCCTACGCAAGGAACAAGATCGGCATCTTCTGCCTTGGTGACAAGGTGGAATAGTTAAAGCATGACGCCACTTGCCATGAGTGCATTGCTTATCCGTCACATCTCTGAAGTATTTGGTTCAAATCCAGGGGACTCGTAGACGAGAGTTAGAGTCGGAAAGGTCCTTCTGGAAATGGAGGTGTTGGTCGCTGCCCCGGACTCTGAGGCCCAGCCTGTGGAGTGTTTGGAGTCTTCGTCGCCTCCGGCGGCGTCACCTCCGCCGGCTAGACCTCGACCCAGTTATGGCCCTAGCAACTCGGCTAGGCGTGCAAACCGGCACCGACAAACATCTCCACAGGAGCTGTCCCCCAGTGCGAGCCCTTCGAGGCCCAGCACAGCACCTACGCCTGAACTCAAGAATCTCCTGACTTCCACGCCACGGTCAAACCGTCAGGCCTGCCCAAGTCAGTGTGAGAAGGGGCCCGTGTCACCAGTTACACGGTCCCGTGTTCAGGATCATTCACCGACCAAAAACTTGCTCAGCACTCCGAGCACACTGACTGCGAGCGCCAAGTCCTTGACTCCGAAGACTACGGTTCCTCGAGATTATGCGCGTGCCCGCTCGCAAAGTACACCAAAAAGGAAGGGGGACACCTACGACTTGGCACGCTTCACAGATGCTCAAAAGGAGAATGACACCTTTGACCGGGCCCTCAAAGAGATCCAAGCGGGGCGCAAGACGAGCTGCTGGATGTGGTTCGTGATCCCTTCGCCCCCGCACATGAAGAACAACATTGAGCACGGGAGCAGCCTCAACCGCAAGTATGCCATCAGGCCTGGCTCGCATCACGCAAAAGGCACAAGGATACATGTGAGGACATTGCCATGCAGTGCCTAGGTTGCTAAAGGCTAAAGCGGCTAAAGCGTTTAAAGGTATGTTGCGCTCTGTCAGGTCCGATGAGGAAGGCCGGGCTTGGCTGAACTACGAGGCGGACGGTGTGGATCTCCGCGCGAACTATTTCGCAATCCTTCAAGCTCTCTGTGAGCATTTAGTGGCTGGCAAGGCGGCACGGTCGGTGATCGGCAGTTTTGACGAGCCCAAGCTTGCGAGCTCAGTTCTATTCTTTGAGAAGCTAACTCGCAACGAAGACAACGAGCTGAATACCTTGCTCGTGAAGATCGCAGGCCTCATGGAGCTGCAGATGCTGCCCTGAGCTGAAAGCATGGTGAAAGCACTCACAAGAGTTGAGTGATTTCATCGGCTTACCTTGGCTGAACCCTGGCCTCTTTTTTTTTTCGCGCGGCAGAGGCGGTCACTGCGGGACCCACCAGTTTCGGCCTGGCATGTGACTCCACCGCCACTAGTCACTAGACCTCGCAGAGGAAAAACTGATCATGGCAACGGGTTGGAACGCTTTGCATCTTCAGCGCGCAAACCTATACCTGCACAGATGGCTCAGCCTCAGGTGCTCCTCGCCTCTCGACGATCAGCTGACCAAAGCTTTTTTTTCGTGTCGGACAAAAATTTGATGCGTCTCAAGAGTTTTTTGCGTCCGCCATCTTGCGTTGTGCTACGATCATACTGATCATACATGCGCATGCTTCTGGCAGGATGCCGGGCAGGTTTGTGGAGGGCAATACTTGAAAGCATGCTGCTTGGTGTGAGCGAATATGCCAATGCTTTGCCTCACAGGACGGTTTACCAACGTTTTAGAGAACGAATTCATATCGGGTGGCGGCAAGCTTGGTAGGCTTGAAAGAAGGAGCGGTTGCTAAGGGCATGAATGGTGTTCGTGTTCCCAGCAAATTTCCGAAGCCGAGCACATAGTGTACACGTCACAAAGATACACAGATGATACAACATCTGTGAGCTAGAGCCAGCTAGAGTTGCGAAGCCAGCTGCCACCCCAAATCACGCCCTCATCGGCTACTATCTGCTCTTCGCACCTTGGCAGTTAACGTTCTCTAGACCAAGCTTGGCATTGTTGCTGCGAAAACCACGCAGCTGAGCACTCCAGTGAGTGTGCAACACCAAGGCAGCTTCATGTTGAGACTTTGGATTGCCATTGCAACTTTAGACAGCGCCAGAGCCTAAGTTTCTTTTCTAGTTTGGGATTCAAACGAAGGACTAGGCTCAGCTGCCATCCTGAGCCATCAGCACGTTGAGAGGGAATCAAATGGTTCGATTCTGGCGTGTCAATCTGCTACATGCAGACGACGTCGGCAGTATGAGAGCGTTCAAAGGTAGCCGACCACAGTATACTACGGTGTTTTTCAAATCCGGCAATGCTTTCGCTGAGCCCGAACAAGATGACCGGATTTGGATGCATGCTTGCTTGACTCGAGGCTGCGGGCTGTAATGCGTGATGTTTAATCAACTATTGTTGGAGCGACAGGCCGAGCTGAGCGCCAGACGAATCACAAAATCTGAAAGTTGTCGAGACCATGCCACAAGAGATTATGCGCCAGCGAGTGTTAATCCCAAGATTGTGGGTACAAGCAAAAGATTTCAGGTCAACGCTCTACACGTCACAGAACTTAGGAAGAGCACTCAAGCTGTAGATATCTGAGGCTCTGCACATTGTCGCAAGCACTTCAGGATCGCAGGCCGGCCAGTAGCATGAACTCAGCCGCTCATGAAGGGGTTTTGAGATAGGCTAATTTGCCCATGGCTTTCTAAGTGGAACTGAGAGCCTAGAGGTATGGTGGACAGTGCAAGTTTCGACAGGACCCTTTGCAGTTCTTGTAACGTAAGAAAACCGGACAGCGAGCTCAGAGGGCACTCATTTTCTTAGCTTACTCTTCCATGAGATTGTGGCTCTCA